CATCCGCGCTTTTGACGGGTCACGCCCTTAGCAGCTATAGTATAAAATCCTAAAGAGATGCACTTGGGGGACAAACACCATTGAGCTCATTGGAAATTATATCTAAACAGATGTGTGTATCATTGCCCTGAATTTCCTTCAAATAAGTAACAAGATAATTATGTATTCCTCTACATCAAATATTAGATATGAATTACTGGAAGGAATTGGTGACAAAACATTATGTTTTGCCTGCTTTATACTAGCAAAGGTTTTTTTTAAAGCTACTATGAAGATCTTTAATTCTTTATTATCTTATTGTTGTCCTAGTTCCCTTCTTTAATCTAGACTGGCAGCTGTTAATCCATTGAATAACAAGCTAGCAATTCTAATCTACAGTATTTATTGGAAGAAAGGTAATAAAGAGTTACAACACAAGAAATCCAACCAGTCCCTTATTTTCAAATGAGGCACACACACACACACACACACACACATGTATGAGATTTTATGGCAGCACAACTCTTGCCAATATCTTCCATTTTGAGAAAGTTGTGTACTTGTCTGCCTATCTTCCCTTTTTTCGTAACTGCTAGTGTTTTTTTATTAGCATAATAAATAACTCTCACATCTTTTCATTGGTGACTAATGTGATTTTTATTGCTATATAGCACTATATTGTTCCATGTTTACAGTTTTGACAGCTATTGGAAATAAATAAATAGAAGCAATAAGTTTACATTATTTCCTCTCTTAAACAAAATTAGCACAGTTGTATCTTAATATATACTAGCAAATTGATTTCTCAATTAAGAGACATTCAAGAGTTCCAGATATAGCATATTTAAGGAAATTACAGATCAAGAACAAGTTCCAATGGATAATTTTGAAATTAGTTTGAAAGGGGATTTAAATGTGACAAGCAGTGAGAAGGACACGGATACATAAATGGAACTGATGGCTGACTAAAAGCAATTACAAACATTGATTCAGAAAATTGATTTGGATAACTTTTTTCTAACTGGATATACAAAAGAGTGCTGTTAAGCTGTTGAAGGACTTTATTAGAAGTGAAAAATAGAAGTACAAACTTCACTTCCTGGATGTACAAAAGAAATATGTGAAAACTTTGAAAGATTTTTGGTTGGAAGATGAACAGAAACTTAACTCTAGGACTCTTTTTGAAGGGGTTAAAAATTAAGATTCTTAAAAACTGAAGGAAGAAATACAAGATTGGGTTATTTGATTGGAGCTAAAAGAAACAATTATATGTGATTCTTTTATTGAACTTTTTTTTTGCCGACAAAGAATTAACAAAATATTTGGATTTTTTAAATTTAAATAAGCTATGGGAAAAATAGACTGTATTTACAGATGGTGATAAGCCCTATTAAAATTGCCTTTACTTGCTAGGATAAAGGGGGGAGTTAGTTGCTATTTTTCACTTTCCTTTTTGTTCTTTTCTGTTTTTTCACTTTTTTTGTATTTTACTATATTTTCCAGCTTGTATTTGATTCTCTTCATTAGTATTTTTTAATAAAATCATTGCGGGGGGGGGGGGATCTTATCTTTGTTCCCAGTCTCATTTTACAGATGTTAAGAACTGAATACACTTCACTGAAGTTGTAATGGATAGAGAACAAGCTATTCAGAGATCATATCAATTCCTATGCTGTGTAACAATAAGCAGAGCACAAATGGGATGGGGGGGGGAGAACCCCTAAATTCAAACCCAAGAGTTACTGTGCCAATTCATTTTTTCTGTCTTTAGCTACAATATAACTGCATTTCAGCATTCAACAGCAGATGGCAATATTTGGCTCAGTTTATCTGAATTTAGAATTTAGGTCTTGATTGGAGACACTGCAGGGAATTCCATAGCTGAAAGCTAGTTTGAAAAGAGACAAAGGGAAAAAAATCCCAGAAGGCCATGGCAAGTCATTTCTATACTGCTGCCAAGAAAACAGCAGGGATGTGCCCACCAGGCTCCCAGGAGCCAAGCCTGACTCAAAGGAATCTGTTGATGCCATACAGTCTACGGTTGAAACTCACATCTGGATAAGGTTAACTAGCAACCTGAAAGCTTCAATGAGAAGAGAAAAAAAATCTCTGGAGCAGTAGCATTAAAATTCCATGAACTTGGGCAGCCTTGTGAAGGTCAGTATTTCCTAGCTTAACTTCACCTCTTTCATGAGAATTCAATGCCTTCCTTTACATTTAAGGTTTACATTTGCAGCAGGAGTATGCGCTTTCTTGCAATGGCAAGCAATGGACACCAATCTTCTACCAAAATGCTCATGTAACTTTTGTGCATTTAGAAGCCAGTCATTGGTTAAAATGACATCAAGGCAAATAACATAGCCCAGATCCTTCCTAAGGGCTGTCCCATGCCAAAAATATGTATTACTTGCTCAGAATTTTAGAGTAAAATATCTGTTCTAACCCACTGACTGCTAGCCTCAACATACATTACTTTATTTACCTTTCAGTCTGCCCCATCAATTCTATACAATCAGTTAGTGATTTATCATCAGGTGTTGACACACTGAAACCCAGGCACACCCACATTAGTAGACCCTGACTAAGTTTAAGCCAATAACTAGAACAAATGGAAACAAGGAGTTTTGGAAACCATGGCAAAAAATCCCCACTATGATCAGGAATGGAATCTCTCTATATTTTCCTTCCCACTTGCAGCTTGCTATTCAAGAAAATATAATCAGAGCAGAAGCAGAAGTGGTCTGAAGAAGATGCTCAAAGTGGTTACTGGAGTGGCGGGAGGAAAGAAGAAATTAACTGAAGGGAGAAGGAAATATCAGGCAAAACAAGCCAGTAGAAAAGCCAATAATAATAATAAAGTTTACCAGAACTAATCCATATTAAAACATCTTTCCATACGCTTACAATTTAGTCTTTGAATTGGTTTGTAGACTTAGATCTTACAAGAAGGGGAGTAGTATTATATTATTGCAAAATTTGGAGACGGTTTCACAGCTTTCCTCAAGCCTTCCCTATGATATACTGGACTTCAACTTCTACACAGGTAGTCCTTGATTTATAACAGTGTGCTTAGTGACTGTTCAAAGTTACAAGGGCATTGAAAAAAAGTGATTTATGACCATTTTTCACACTTATGACTGTTGCAACATTCCCACGGTCATGTGATTTACATTTGGATGCTAAACAACTGACTCACATTTATGACAGTTCCAGCGTCCCAGGGTCATGTGATCCCTCTTTTGGCAACATTGACAAGCAACATCAATGGGAAAATCAGATTCACTTAACAACCGTGTTACTAATTTAACAACTGTGGTAATTCACTTAACAAATATGGCAAGAAAAGTTGTAAAATGGGGCAAAACTCACTTAACAAATTTCTCACTTAACAACATAAATTTTGAGATCAATTGTGGTCAGATGTTGAAGACATAATTCCCAGCCAACAGGCCAGACAGAACGGAGTTGTGCAGAGCAGTCACCAGATATTAAGCCAGGGAGGGCTTTTAGTCCGGCAAAGGTAGGAAAAGATGTTTTGACTGACAGCAACAAGTCAATTACTCTTCCTCCTCCAAGAAAATATATCTTCTTGGAAAAGACAGAAAGCTTCTATTGTGGTGTAAAGGGGGAGGTGCAGATGGTGACTAGGAACTGATTTGGTTTTCTCCCTGCCTGCTGCTTTTGTGGCCTAATTCTCCGAAGCACCTGGTCCGTTTTCCCAAAAGCTGCAGCAAAATCTTCCCAAACAAAAGCCGCATGAAAGAGGCAACTTGCTCTCTCATAGGCTCGCTTCTACTTTCCTTCCTGGCTCTATCTATCGCATGCCCAAGGATGAGGGGGGAGTGACTGCAGCATCGCGGACCAACATCATCACGATCACACCATCCAGAGTGGAAACAGCAACAAAGAAGCAGCCAGCCTTCTTTCTCTTCTCCGTGCCATCTTGATCTAGATACCTGTGCCATATCTACGCACGCAGCACCAACAGATCCACGCAGGATCACCTCGGGATCGGGAGGGGGAAAACAAATAAAATAAAACCAAGGCCACGACCTTCCGCTGACAAAAAATATAAAGCAAACCAAAACCATCTCGTCTTCCTCTCCTTTTCCCCACTGACATTGGGAAGGAAATCCCAGAAACGCGGAATGAAATGCAGCAACTACAGCCACGGTGGTTGTTTTTTTTAGGGCGGGAGGAAGCGAGGAAGGAAACTGCGTCCGAACCCAGCGGGGGAGAAAATTGAGTCCCAGCAAAACGGGAGAAACGCAGCGGGGAGACGAGGGAGCCGTCGATCCTGCCGCAGGGCTCCGCAAAGGGACTGAAGCAGACGCGTAGAGGGCGAGAGGCAGCGCCAGCCACTCGCCGCCACCTCTGCATGCGAGTGCCTGCGCCAGATCGCCCGGAATCCCGAGAGCAGCAACGCCACCGCCGCCGCTTCCATTGTTCTAGGGCAAGGCAGAGAGGGAGGGAACAAGCAAAAACCCAGCCGCAGATCTCTCCCGGGTAAACAGATTCCGAGTTGGAGAAGGGAGCCCTCGGGAAAACACGGGAAAGCCATCCCCCCCCCCCAGTTCCCAAGGATTCCTGGTGGGGGGTGACCCAGCTTCCCTTGTGTAAATAGGATTTTGGAGTTGTTGTTATCGCTGCGGGTGGTTGGGTGGATGGGGGTGGGGACATGGGAAGGGAAGCGATATTGCAATGGAACTCGGAGTAACAACCAGGTGGCTTACCCAGCGTCCAAGGTAGAGTCCCTCCGCTTCGCCCCGCAGCCTCCGCTTCCCTCCGCTCCTCCAGCGCACTCAGCTCTACTTAGCTACGGTCCCCTTTTTTTTCTTAAATGAAAACGCCTTTCGCCTCCTTGGATTGGCTCACGCCTCCCTGCCCCAGGTTCTAGGCTAAGCGAACAAAGAGGGAGGGAGAGCGAGAGCGACAGAGAGCGAAGGAGGCGTAGCTTTTTGCCCGGTGCCGGCGAAAGAGCCTCGCCTTCTACGCATGTGCGTCCTTTCCTCTCCCTTCTCCTGGAAAGGCTTTTTTGCGCCTGCGTGCTCGGAAGACCTCTGGCCCAGAGACCCGTGTGAGTGATGGGGGTTGGGAGGAGCGGGGGGGGGGTCGTTTTGGGTGGGAGCGGCTCCCTGTTTTTCTCGCGGCTTCGAGCTGGAGGACCGGCATAACTTGAGGACGCGGGCTTCGTGCTAGGAATGGAAAAGAAGTTAGGCCGTGCAGCGCGGTCGTATATATACATAGACGTATCCTTGGAAGGAAAGCCCGCGAGTTGTGTGAGGTTCGCTCCTAGCTCCAGCAAAGGATTTTAACCCTTGCAGCCTTAATCTCGAGAAGGCCTCCTTTGCACCACAACCTTGAATACCACTCGGGTTTGGAAAAACGTGGCGATCGGCTGGAGTAACATTGCAGCGCGATTTTAAATGATTTTACTTACAAATAAGGCATTTATACAACTTACTAGTGCGGAAGTGCCTTTGCGATTTCGAATATAAACCTTCTAAAAGTTCCAGGAGGCTGGGATGTTGTCTGTGTTTGCTAGACGGTAAATCCCGAGATCAACAGATTTTTGAAATAAGACTACAATCCTGTCCATTTAATTCAGGGGCATTAAACCAGCTCAGGCTTGAGGGGCTCCGTTCGCTCAGTGTTTCGGAATTACAGCGATTTCTGTCCTTTACTGAAAACAAAATCCTATCAAATTTCATGGAGATTCCTCTTAAATAACTGCAAAGAGGAAATTTGCAGATCGGGCAAAAAGTAATAATGCTTTATTTTAAAATCTGGAATTTGGAGAACTATAACATAGGTAACTCTCTTTATATCCTGATCACGCTTTCCACCTTGGTATCATTTTTATTTTTTTTGGAAGACCTTAATGTACTAGTTCCAGTTCCCAGGGCTTCAAGTTGTTGCAAAGCTAATCTGGATCTGTAAACAAGCATATTTAGTGTCTGCTTTGGCTGTAAGATGACCTATCACCCATTTAAAAAAGATTCACAAAAGAAGATGGATGAGAAACTTTCTTTCTCTCTTCCTGGTCCAGGATTGTAGATTAGACACTCATGAACAATTGTTTTATCAGGAAGAGGCAACAAAGAGAAATAGGGCACCAAGTGACAATTATACCTGGAGAGCCAAAAGTAGCTGATCAAACATGAAGGAAACCGCTTTGGTCGCATTGATGGATGATCTTTGGAGAGCCAGAGATGAAGGACA